TGAATTCACTTTTAAATACTATTGACTCCACATATTTGTAGCACTAATGCATTATTTAGATTGTCTGCCAAATTATGCTTAACATGAGTTTGTTTTTCAATTCTTTAATGCTTGAAAACTTTATTTTGAGAAAAGTTCAGTTCAAATGGTATCCAATTAAGTAGAGACAGCACAGACAGCGCTGAGCACTGGCATCCATGTGAGCACTGGTAGCATGAATGTTATATTACATTCGCCTCAAATATCTTTATCGCACAAAATAATATGAAATTTGGGAACAAATGATGGCTACAGACCTACACTACCAGAGAAATACAGAATCATTACATAATAGCTGAGGGAAAGTAATACCGATGGGAAATGGATGAAAGCAAGCAAAGAGATTGCCAGCACTTATACATCACCCAATAGGTGCTCAAATAACTTATATGTATAGATATATATACGATATTACATACACTACTGACTACTTTTGATTTTTATTACTTATATAAATGAAAGACAGAAAAGAGGAAAATTGTTTGTGTTTTAAATTGAGGACAACTTTAATCTATTGGTTCACTAAATACATAAATGCCAACAGAGATGTCGTATTGCTATGAATATTGAAGTGAGACTTGAGTCCAGAAATGAGATGATTTTGAGAAATGGAAAAAGTGTTGTATTTGTGAATGTGTTGTATATGTGAAGCGATGAGTGTTTTTATGAAATTTGCTGATCGTTTCAAAAGTCTATGAGAAATAATGTAGTTTTGTATTGCATTCAGAGATCTCTTAGGGTTCCGGTGCTATACGTTTTGAGCACTCAGTGCGACGAGTTGATGCCAGCGCCCAACCATTTCTGTAGTTATGCTTTACTTTTGCTTTCCTTTACTTTTTTGGTCTATCATTCATCTTAACACAAGTGGAGCACATTATGGATGAGATGTGTGTCTGTACTGTCTGTTTGTTCAAAACACACTCAATTCACTCCATTCTCACAGTCTCTGAACTACTGCTCAATCATTGCCACAACATATATAACCAACACTACAGCCAATCGTCATCGCATCGCGAGCCTCACATCCCTTTCCATCCCTACCATTAGCCCAACGTATTAAAGATTCTGCAAACGGACGGCTAATATATCACCAAATATATCAGCAAATGTCTCGCAACAAAAGTCAAACTCATTTTATTTGCAATTATCGCGTAATGAATATTACTTTTTCAAACCCAAACTAAACTACAATTTAAATGCAATGCAGTCGTGTCTGTCCCCCGCAATCAGGCTCTGTTGCACAACACCAAGTCATATATGCACTACTTTTATGCTATACTTCAGTCACTGTAATGTATGGCACTGTAAGGGCACTGTATGGGCACTGTATGGGGATATAGTGGGGGATCGGGGCCTCAATGAACACCCCATGCGATGTCTAATCGAGGAGCTGGTGCTTCAGCTCATTGATCATTGGCTTTCAATTGCAAGACAATAACATTTTATATTGAATCCAATACCGTCTTATAGTGTTCAGCCTCGCATTAACTATATTAAGGTTTTATATATGCACTCATATTGTCATTGTGTGTGCCTTTGCTGGTGTGTTGGTTAAGCTGCCAGTGCTGTCACGACTCATTTTAATCCAAATGACAATCGTTGCTGAATCAGGGCTACCACTGGCTTACTGTACAGTACAGTACAGCACTACTGGCCCACAATAAGGCCCTAAATGATAGGTTTGAGTGAATCGGCGAATTCAGTTCACACCTCAATATGTATTTATTTGATTGAGTTTTCAAACTATTTATTATATTTAGAGAGCATTTGATCGAAAACTTATTCTCTAAACCTATTAGACATTTGTTTAATAGTCTTCTCATTCCATACGATATCTAAGCTCTATGTTTAGGCTTTTCACTGATTTTGTTGCTCTTATTTGGGAACTCAATATTGAATTATTTATAATAGGGTGAGGTTAGGGTAGCCGATATATACTTTCTTATTGACTACAATATACTGTAAAATGTATAAAAGTAGCCAAACATTCACGGCTCCCACTCAGTGAAAGCACCTCTTAGTGAGGATTAAACACCAAAACACACCCCAACTCTTAATGAGATATTTATTTTAATGACAGGAATGCTGTGAAAAACATTTAAAGATTTAAATATTAATTTAAAACAAAAGAAGAAGAGATTTGCAAACAAATTGAAAAGTTGGAGAAATGAAGAGCACAAAGACATGATATATGTGTATATGTTGTATATGTATATTATATAAGTTGTATACCTTTGATGTGCTATCATTTTACATACTCTACTCAAATGGATTTACTCATTCACTATGAAAATAAGCACTGTTTTCATGAGTCATACGCTACTGCTATACAATACCAGTGCTATTGCTTTACCTCTATTAGAACTTTAAAGAGGAAAAGGCATTCAATAAAGAGATATACAGTAGAGAGTGGAGGGAGAGATGCAAAGAGACCTCAATATGGATTGAAAAGAGGAAATATTATGTAACCAATTAGGCTCCTGACTAATGACTGGCATCGATTGCATTCATGTAATGGATTAGCTATAGAGTAGAGTGGAGTAAAGCATAGGCTATACAAATGTATGCCTCTGTTATTGCTTGATATCGCATAATAACAAGATTGCAAGCCTTGTATTCCCCGACCAGTAATTCCCTTTTGTTGTTTGGCATCACTTTTACTTTCATTGATTGTAAAATTTTCTTTCAACTTATGTTAAAACCAAAAGAAAACTTTTTTAATAGAAGATTAACTGAGAAGTGATGTTATGATGCGGTTTGAGTGCATTTCCAGAGACTCTTACATACGCTTACGCTTCACATCATTTCATTATAATATGAAATGCAATCAACGCTCACAACATACACACCACACTTCATATCATTGCAAATACACATGAAAATTATATATCAATTCATGTATTTTATGTTTACATATATTCTGTTTGACTTTATTTATAATTCTGGAGAACATTGTCTACAATTAAGAATCGATCAAAATGTGTATTCAATTGAAATAACGTCGAGTAGTGCTGAGAGAAAACAAAGCGAATATAAGTTATATTCAAATATTGATTGTAAAGAAACGTAAAAATAAGTTAAACGATCAGAAAATATGAGACAATTGGATAGTAGTTATAGTGTGCGAGATGGTAGACATTGATGCAACACATTGTAATCGATTGCTGCAAAAGAACAGCTCAACAAAACGATTGCAAGTTTTGCTTCACAAAAGTTACGCCAAACAGCAAATTCATGTTTCAGTCGGAGTCGAGCGCACCGACAGACATGACAGCCTCACTCGTCAACTCCACGCCAATTCACTGCACTTTATACTACATATACAGTACAGTATATAACAGTTTCCATAGAATATAACAATCAAATTGAAAATTTCAAAACTATTTGTTAGGAGAGAGTGGAGAAGAATGTGCGAAAAACGCTTCACAAATCATTTGATGATTTAATTTAATGACAAAATTGCTGCAATTGTTGGCCAATAATTTGAGTTCATTTTCAAAGTTCTAATTATATATTAATTAGCCGTTTGTGACACTTAAGCATTTCGCAGAGTAAACAACTCTTTATAGTTTTAAATAATTATTTAGTCATTAAAGTAATGCTCATAATTTTTGTTTATTTCTTAGCATTTAGTTTGAGAATTTAATTACTTCAAAAATGTCGAGAATTTGTTTTCAATAAAAACATACTTTAATTGAGTAAATGTTTGAAAAGCTATTTATTGATCTACATAATATACTGTATTTATATGATAATTATTTATAAATAGATATATTTATCAATCAATTCATTTGACTTTTGCACCAACTTTTGACGCAATATAATTAATACGGGTGTAATTTACTGTTAATACGATTTGGTTAATAGGGGGAAAATCAATTTTTATATCAAGTTTTAATGGGCTTATGAATCATGTATTGATCGCTGGCTTTGATAATTGTGTGAAAATAAAGTGAGATATAGAATAGAATAGCAAACCATTAATATAAGTGTTATTTTAGTCTAAGACTGAAGCAAATGGTTGTATGAAATTGTGGATACAGTGAGCATTGAATATACTGAACAGCATTTGACGAGTGTTTTGCTTTGCGTGTCTAATGTGTCTAATTTAATGTCATTTACAGTACAGTATATACCGATCGGCACATGTGTTCTTCAATTCTCATCTCTATTTTGCTAAATGGCTGGCAATCAGAGAAGTATTTCTTTATAGTGTCCATCATTTGAAGCCCAGATTAGTTGTAAAGAAATGCTTTTCACACAGAGTTGTAGAGTTGTTGCCACAGCACTGGTAGCTTTCATATACCATAGCACTGTAAGCATACATAGAGTAGAGCTCATGGTTTGATAGTTTGCTCGATAGCACTGATAGGACGAGAACTCAACTATAGATACATTTAATGCTAAGTTTGAGAGGATTGAGAGAAACGGCTAATAATGAAAGGCAAGAGAGAGAACCAAATTGAGGCGACACACTGTGCCTAACGTTTATTATGGTGTTGGATAACCTCTGCCTACTCTCTATTACATTAATCGTTATGAGCATCTCCTCACTCAGCCTCTCTCTCTCAGCCTCTCTCTCTCCCTCTCTCTCTCTCTCTCTCACTCTCTCTCTCTCGGTTTGATTATATGACTATTGTGTGCACTCAATGAATGGCGTATTGTATGAGTTGTGCTATTCTGGAGAAGTTTAATTCAATAGTTATGCCTTTGGTAGTGATAGTATGGGTTCATTTTGATGGTGCGCCCAATGGCTGCGAATTATTCATACCATTTATAGACCATTAATGTGTCAGTTTTGTGCTCCTCTTTAATGCTTCAAATGATTTGCTGCTTCGATGAGATATTTAGTGATTCAATGAAAGCAATACCAATGTTGCCAATAGTGATGCCCTTACTATCCTAACTATCCTTACTATCCTTACTATCAAATGTATTACTAGTCTATAGAATAGACACCAATGGAGAGCAATAGAGATGAGATGAAAGTGCAAATAGAGATGAGCTCTGGTATACCCGACATAACGAGAGCTCATCTCTTTATTTAATCAAATTTATATATTGTATGAAAAGTGAAGCAAAACACAGAATCAAGTCATTCATTGTATTCTTATATGTTTTGCCCTTATTTTGGTTTTTGCCTCAAATTATTTTTATTTTCTTGTCCTCACATTTCTATTGCTTAACACAACACAAGTGAACCAAACAAATAAATACTCGTCTAAAGTAACAAATCGTATATAAAGCGAAACATTTTTCTCTCTCACAACCAAAACTACAATTTTATATAAAAGATCTGTAAATCTCTTTCTCTCTTCTTTTCTCTTTATTTCTTTCATATGCTCTTCAAGTTCTTGAGTCGAACTTCACTTTCATTTTCTCCACTTTTCTCCAAAAACTATCGCTTCAGTCGAGTATTAAATTCATGTGGAATTCAAATGGAAAAAACTAAATATCAGATTAAGTTTTCAGTTGTAAACTGAAGAAACAATTCTCGTATTATTTGCCAAATATTTATTATTCTCTCTTTCAGTTGCTATCATTTTATCACATTATATGCAATTGTTTCAAATATTTTAAGTCTTATTCAGTTAGCAATTAAGACAAATACAAAGCTTAGCGACTCTTATGCTCTTGTTTTTGCACTCATATCTGAATAAATATTTCCAAATATAATCTGAATAAATGTTTTACTCTTCAAAGTATTTGAAAACCAATTAAATCATTCAGTGTTTATGTGTATATAATATGTGAATATACAATATTAAAGTAATTACATAATATAACTATATTAAAGTATGAGTTAAATTAGTTGTAGTGATAATAACGAGTAATTACAAATGGCATATCACTGGTAATCGAGCAAAACCCATATTTCCTGTTTTACTGAAATATTAATGAAGTCTAACTTTCATTCACTGCTATATTGATATGCTATCAAAATGTGACAAATATATGCTGGTAATGCGGCATTTATTGGCTTCCCAATGAAAAATTGATTTTATGAATTGTAAATGCAGTCAATGTTAAAATAATTCTTTGTTTGTGTCGTGTATTGAATTGTTTGAATGAAAGCTCAAAACAACATAACATCTGATAGTTTGATAAGAATTAGTCGATTGAATGAATGAGAACTGAAACATGAGTTCAATCAGATTCAGCACATAATTGAAGCACAAAATCAGTTTAAACGCAAAATTGTTTTTATCGTAAATACAGTGAATATAAATGGGAGGTAACTGTAGATGACTGATAGAAATCCGCTTTAGTTTGTTATACAAAACTATTTTCTATTTTCTAGTAACTAGTAAATTGTTTTGGTTTTCGTAATAAAACTAAAAGAGATTATATATACCACACAATAATCACAACAATATTCTTATTGATTAATATTTCTCGGTTTTAAATGCAAGACTTTCTCACAATTCATATAAAAAGGAAATTTTGGGGAAAATTAATGTAAGAATTTGCGGCAATAATTGGACCGGTTTTGTCGCCTACTTAATTGAAAGCAATTGAAACGTTTGACAGGACAGTAAGCAATTGGGAAGGTGTGCACACCTTTATCTTATAATTTCCAAACAGAAGACTCGCCCATATTTTTCTCTCTCAATTAAGTGACGGCCAGAGAGGAGAATGTTATGGCAATCAATTGGATTTCACCAAAATTGACACATGAGATGAGATTCTGGAGATTGTCTTATCATATAATGCATTACTTCAGTTAAAACTGTTAATCGATGCGAACTCAGTGTTAGACTATTTCGCTAAAACTTATATAATGCCAGTGAATGTGCTGGATGTGCGTGCCTTGAATGCAATCCAAACACTTTCCAATATATATATGGCTCTCTCTCTCTCTCTCTCTCTCTCTCTCTCTCCCTCTCTCTCTCTCTCTCTCCCACTCTATTTTGATCATTAATTCTCATTTTTGTTTGAGATTGAATTAAAAGCTTTGCATTTATGTTCACAACTACTGCGCTCTACTTAACTCTGTATTACTATTACGACAATAATAATAATGTTATTGTATTACATGTTTTATATCATACAATGAAATGCATTCTATTCATAAGACATCAATGATTTGAACATAATTTTACTCCTATTTAATATCATTCAGTATTTATCTAATATTTTAATTAAGTTATTATACTTAATTGTGTCCGACTTTTTCGCTGATTGTTGTATATTAGAGTTAAAAGTTTTGCAATTTATGATTATTATTTATAAATAAATGTTAATTGATTTTAAATATTTATTATTGCATAATGTATGAAACAATAAAATTAATTTAAATTTAAATTAAGCTTGTTAGAAATCAAATAAATTGATAATTTATTGAATTTAATGAGTTGATGTGAAGTTAAAGTTGATATTAAATATAATTTAAAAAACAGCAAAACTCTGAGACTTTATTGGCCGACATCTCGCAGGCATTTCAGAGCACTTCACCGAAACTCATAAGTTATAAAACTCGAGAGTTTGAAGCAATTCTGTTGTATAAATAGCTGTCTCTTATATGTTGAGAATTATGAAAATAGAAAAAATTAAATCAAAATTAAATGAAGTCTAACGCAAGTAAATGAAGAATATAGTAAAACACAAAACGAGAGATATTTGATAATAAATTGGTTAAAGAGAGGGAAAAGAGATTAAGTGTACTCACAATATGTCAGTAAAACGAGTATAAACTCTCATATATGTGTTGTCTATACTATATATGCATTCATTTAATGCATTATAATTCAGAATTTGCAGAATTCAAGCGAATGAATGAACTGTTATTTTCATTTTAATAGCTTTTTGTTTTTAACTCATTTTTAGTTCATTGCAATCTCTTCACTATTTTTAGTGCATTCTATATAACACTTATATATAGACATAAATAGTGTGGTGTATATTATATAAGAATTGTATGGTATATAGCATTAGATGTTTTGCTAACTCTGTGTCACATGTTTTGTTTGAAACAATTTTCTAATATTTATTCTGAAAGACCGCATAATAATGATTGCAGTGAATCGGCTCTACATTCAAATATGAGCTCAACATTAGTGTGAATGGCTTTTGAATGTTTAAATCGTTTGCTACTGTTTTGCATTTACATTACTCCAGTAGTAGTCTGTAAATAGTCGTAAGTTTAGTATTTAAAACCGAAACGCTTTCATTGATACTTAAAAAACTCAGCACAACTGCATATTTATTTTGAACATCACTTTGACATATGTTTATCACTCTTTAATTATAAAAACAGACTTAAATTTATGCTAAAAATGTTTGCCTCCATTTATACAACTTGAAAAGCACTCTTTTTATGTTAAATATCTTGTTTTGTAATACATTTTCATTCGCAAACTTGTCATTTGAAAAAATGTTTTGATAACACCGTTTAAATCTCCAGAGCTTTCATTTTATCGCATTTCAATTGAATGAGAAAAAGATTCCCAAAAACTATATTTTGAATAACAGTTTAAACTCTATGAACATATTATTACAAACTTATTAAACATTAATAGACTGAACACTTCAGCCATAAATCGCTACATAGCTCTCATAAATTGCTAATAATTATTATACCGTACAGTACTGTATGCCTAAAATGCGAATAAATCAAAATTTATAAATTCAATGTTAATTAAACAAATGTTAAAACGTGATATTTAAGAAATATTTTTTATATAAATTGCATTATATTTCTAATTTTTATCTAAAAATCTTTAATGAAAAAATCAATGGTTTTTCGTTTACCCATAATTAAAAACTGCTTTCAATTAATTTCAGTATTGCTTTCTAAAGAATATTTTTAATTCAATTAAGTTATTCAAATGGTGTGATTATTACAGATTTAATAAACAAAACGTGAGTTTTGAATGACTGCAAATTAAAAATTATAATAACTTTAAATTGTAATGTGATACTAATATAATATTGTTATATACCATAATATAAAATTTAATATATTTAATCTAAAAATTATTCTACTATTAATATTTTATACTATATATAACGTAAGATCTTAAGATTTAGATTTTCTAATTAATTTATAAAGATGTGTATTATTATAAGATTTTGTGATTTATTAATAGAAGAATCTTTTTTAATTTACTTTAGTTTTAACTTATTTTTATTGAGAAATGGGTTTTCTGTCGAAGAAATCAGTTTTTTGGCAAAATTTGTTAAGAATAGCAATACTGTAGAGAATTGTGCGATAAGAGGGCAAACGTGTGAACAGTTGTGTCTAATACCGTACATATGGAGTGAAATGTGAAGTTTTAGTGTTTTGAATGATGAGTTTAAAAGTAGGAATTGACAAAAATCAAGAGTAATACAGTTGTATTGGAATAGATATTGTCGAGTGAATGAATGTCACATATATTTTGCATTCATTTGTTGACACATTCAGACAAATTCTGTAGGATTGTGTAGAAAATAGCGCTAAAGTGAACAAATATTCTCATTTATTTATATATATTCAAAGTGTGTTGTGTTTCTGGTAGTGATGTATTGAAGCGATTACTTCATTAAATATACAGATCAAAGGGATTCAATCGATTCCTCAATCTATGCTTTATTTATCTCATCTCTAAATCAAATCAAACTAATGACTTGTATTTGAATCTTTCAAATGAATGATACCATTGAATGCAATATCAATCACAAGAAATCGATTTATTTCTAGAATTTATCAATCTTTTAGTGCAATGTTTACATAAATAATCATTTATTTCTGTTAATGAGTCTAGACTTGAATTAGTCGAACATTGAATCCAAACAATTGAACGGATCTTTGGATGATTTGCTTAACAAAACACAAACTACTCGTCACTAAAAGAGTTTATTTTTTTTATTCATATTCTATTCATTACATAACGTATGAAATACTATATTTGCAATCGTTTAGTCTCTTATAGCCATGTGTTTATGCATTTCAGTGACTTTTAAAGCTATTAAACTTGCGAGTCTATACAACTTTAACACCATTAAAGGTCTTAATGGCATTTTGATTGAGTCTGGCCTCACATCCACTTACTTTAGCTCTTCATACTATTAACCAATATATACATTAATATCTATATTATTATATTACTCTACTGTACAGTACTGTACTCTACATTACTGTACGAGCCTTTATTCTATGCTTATATACTCCAAAGTCTATTAAATAGCGTTGAAAACAATTAATAATTTTTGTTTTTAACAGATCTTTGCAGTGATAATAATAATAAGATATCGAATAACCGAAAGAATGGCAATAAAGGGGTTAAACGAAAGAAGGACTCATCGCTCGACACATCCAAAGACGGCGTTTCAACGAATTCGTTAGATTTGACATCAAATGCAAAGAATGTGAAGAAAGTAATGGATTCGAGTCATGACACCATCGAAGGCATTGTTATGGACTCACACTCGCCGTCGTCGGCAGACTCGAGTGCATCGGTCGACAACACCGGAGCCACCGATTCGGTGAACGAAAGCGATAAGTCCAAGAAGAAAAAGGCCAGAACCACTTTCACCGGTCGACAGATCTTTGAACTCGAAAAACAATTTGAAGTGAAAAAATATTTGTCTTCGAGTGAAAGGGCAGAAATGGCCAAACTTTTGAATGTCACCGAAACTCAAGTGAGTTCTCAATCTTAAGAATTTTTTTCTTCAGATTTTGAATAAATTAGAAAACATTTCTTAAATACAAAAAATAAAATTAATAACTTTTGTATGCGGAAACATTTAGGAAAGTTTTGCACTATTTTTATTAAAACGAAATAGAAATGTAAGGAAAGAGGGCTTCTGTGATATGTCTATTATTTGTGATGTTTTTCAACCATTCAAAGGCTGATGCGATTCCATATGTGTTTTTGTTATTTATATAACTTTTGCTCACAATTGTTCAAAAAAGTGTAGTATTCATACAATTCATACAATTCATACAATTTGTAGAGTTGTTAGTGTTGTTGTGAGACAGTATGTGCTCATTCTGTGAGTCTTACTCTTTCAGTATTGTCTTTATATTTCATTTTCTATTTCTCGTATGTTTTACTTAAAGCGTTAATATAAGTCTCGTCTCGTTTTGTATTTCTCTCTCATATTGTGATCTCTTTTAGCAATTCTGGTGTTTTGTGCGGATTGTCTGCCGTCATCGCACAGCTAAGCGTTGGTCTCATATTGAGTGCACTATTTGTGAATTATTCTCTCTGTCTCTCTATCTCTTACCCGAAGCTATCGATTTAGTGCACTCTTCAGAGCTCCTGTTGTGTTAGAGATTGTATGACTGTATGCCTGCGCCTCACTTGCAATGACTTACATTACATTGGATTGTATGTAAGTGACAGCAAACCAGGAGCTAAATGTTGTCGCGGTGTACAAAATGCACCGATTCTTGTGCTGCTATTTCCCACTCTATTCCCACTCCGGGTCCTATCAGTTATAACAAAAAATTCTCACTCTATCCTCATATGACTGAATCTTCTCTACCTTTTTATGTATTCAATCGATTCTCTATATATTCTTCAAATTCTTTGCCATCAAATATGTTGCAATTCAGAGCGAAATAGTTTAAATTGAAAGGAAAACTTTAAGCCTAATAGTATTATACTGTAGTTTTAGTATATAGTATATGTATTCTTATAGTGTATGTATTGTTCAGTAGTAATCTTATGCCTTATTTTGAACTAATGTTTAAGTCGAGAAACAAAAGCTTTTATATTCCGAGAATTTGTTTCAATTGTGACTATAGTATTAAGAATTATAAATATTTTATTGCATTCAAATCAAGACAATTTGAAAATGGTTTATTTGTATAAATCTTGTGAAATAACTTTAAATGATTGAGAAAATTATGTATAATTATAATTAATTATTGAATAGAGCAATTGTTAGCATTTGATAATTTGATGCCATTTTTAATAGCATTTATGAGAGCGAATGGAAAGACAATTGACTTTGTTATTCATTGTCTTTATAAAGGATTACAGAGTATGTGAGGCAATGATTGTGAAAGTGTGCTATACTGTAGTGTATGGTGCGATTGGTCTTAAGTAGTATCAGTAATCAATATATATGTTAACTGATGTTTGTGTGGCTTTTCCTGTTCTCTACCGCCGGTGCAGTTCAGCGCAGACACAGCACAACCAGAACTGAGTACTTGAGTGAAGCAAATGTTTCCCAAAGACTTCTATAATGCTATTAAAGAAAGTCTACTTTTAGTTATTTACTCTCTATTGCAGGGTTGAGGCAAAAATATAATTAAGTGAACACTAAAGCACTGAATTTGAATGCAATTGTGAATGAGAGACACGAGTATTGTATTTGAAATTATATTTTCTTCAAAATATGAATATATTCTGAGACTCAAGTGATCCTCTTATGATTCCCTACTTATTTGTATTTATATTCCCTTTTAGTCTTAAATAGTCTATAACTTCACCAAGTTTTCGAGTTATTGAAAAGTTCTACTCAAATATATAGACATCTTTTTTTGTTATTATTATTCTTGAGATTCTTTTTTCAACCAACAAATACAAAATACTTTGTTTAGAAAGAGTCACTCACTCTCACGAGAGAGAGAGAGAGAGAGAGAGAGAGAGAGAAGTGGCGGATCTCTTATAGTATTTGCCAATAAGACTAAAGACAAAGACATAGCTATAAGTAAAATAAAATTGTGTTTTAGTCGTATCGTTCAATAATATCAAACGACAGATAGATATCTGAGTTCTGAAAATATCATTTTATTTTGCTTTTACTTTATTTATACATTTGTTTCGCCGAAAACTCATATAATGATTATGTGTTGGGTCTGTGCTATAGTGTACGCCGCTATACAGCCAAACAGCTATGCATTTAACATATTGTTTCCTTCACTTTCTTTCTCTTTTACTTCACTTTTCCATTAAATGAAAGAAAAACTTTTATAGCTTTATCTCAAAACTCTTGCAAAATGTTGTCGTATTTGTGATTCTCTTTTGGCTTTATTTTTGTTAGAATTATATTGTTTTGAGTGACGAATGAGATCTCAATTTTAATGTAAATTTGGTCACAAAACAATTGAAATGATAAGAAAAATGATGACTACTTTGCAGACTATGTTCAATGCATACAATATGTTGCAAACAATACATCACTAATATCTGTACTTTTATACAAAACATATTTAAATTATTCAAAATTTTTATTCAATTCTTAAAATTTCAGATTTTTCAATTAATAAACCTTTGAAATTCATATTTAAATTTTATGAGAAAAAACAATAATAGTTTTAAGATATAGGTATTTATTTAATGTGTAAAATATTTTTTATGTAATAATGCTTTATGTTTAATCAGATAACAAAACAAAAATCTTAACAAAATCAACAAAATTTAATTTGGATCTTATTATATTTATACTTATCATTTAATTGTTTTAATGGTCGAGTAAGCGATTGTATAAAATATTGCAAATTATTTGAGTTATTAAACAAAGTTAAAGAAAGACTATAAAGAATTAATATTTATATGAATCTAAAATTGATTTCAAGTTGAAATCATTGAATAATTTGCTTCAAATTTATTCATAAACCCAAATTTAAACGTCAGTCGAAAAAAATAATCGCATTTAAAATTAATGAATAATAAATTTAAAGCCATTTTAAATTCAAATTTTTTATTCTTACTAAACATTCTTTCATTAATCAAATAAAAGTTCTCAATATTTTTGTTTTGCTATATTTGCCGTATATTTAAACTGATTTTAAAAGCGTTTATGTTATTCATTGACTCTAACACGAGATTATTTGAATCACTGAAAAAATACAAAGAAAATAATTTATTGCTTTTTGTGAGTTTATAACTATTTGAAGCAACTCATGGATTATTGAATCTTCAAATAAAGTTATTCGACTGAAAAGCAATAAATAAAATATTAAGCATTGAGTGAAAAATTTTAGTATTAACTGAGAAAAGTCTTTGAAAGCACCAGTTGTGAGACTTGAGATCATTTCAATTTAAACACTAAATCAATAGAAAACCCCATTTATGTTACCATTTGTGTTACCATTTGTATTACCAGTCCTCTATTTTGTATTCCTATTTCACTTAATTCTTATCACACTTTCTATCGTACATTCAAATTAGCATTTATTTCAAACAACATTCAAAAACACAATCTTTCATTTCATAGTCTAAGCAATTTTAATTCATTTTATTAGATCAATGATTAATTTTAATTGTTTTTCTTGTATTGTTTGAAATTTAGGTGAAAATATGGTTTCAGGTGAGACTGAATGAAAATAGTTTTATATGACACTTTGAATTAATTTGAAAATTTCAATTCAAATGAATAGAACCGAAGGACTAAATGGAAGAAACAGGACGGCATCTCCAACACTGAGGCCGCAGACTATAAGGTCGGCGCCGATAAGAGACCCAAAGAACAGTCGTCTTCGAGTAAACATAAATCAAACAAATCAGTGAAAAGCAATACAAATGCAATCAATAGTTCAAAGCCTTTAGCTCTTAGTCTTTCGGCTGTCGGACAGACCTCTTCTTGTAGTCAAATGAGTGAAGAAACGGTCCGTAATATCAGTACTAATAGTAACAGCAGTTGTAGTTCGACCCCAAAGAATGGTATTTTAGACATAGAGCCAAACACTTCCTTAGGTCTGAGTAATAATAATAATACCAAATATGACATCGAATTGAAGCCTGAAATGGATGAAAACGATTCAAAGAGTCCCCGATCTCTACGAATAGACGACCAAGAGTTCGATACGGACGCCGACAGAGACTCTCCGATGCCTTTCGATGACTCGGACTCGGAAGACTCGGATGACTCGGAGGAGGATAACAAAGAGCCGAACCGGACGGTAGGCCCCAGCAGTCAGACCACTGTCTTGACGTCAAATAAGCAGAACTGTGCGACTGTTAGCACCGATAGCTTGGGTGAAGAGAGTAAGGGAGTGAGTGTTGACAACAAAGTGTTTCGGACAATGGATTGCAATGAGAAGAATGTGAACGGAATTAATGCCAAGAATTTGACGACAGATTCACACTCTCTATGACTGGCACTGAAGCCCACGAAAGACAAGACTCGAGACAACTGTTCAAATTGAAGGCGTTGTCATAATCGCAGCATTTCTTGTGTCTTAACGGCTGCACAACTGCCTTAAAACTCTTACACCATTTCATCCAACACTCGTCCCAATCATTACAAACAATCTATTGTACAAAATAACTATAAATTTAGTTTTTAATGTTTTATTCAATTGGGATTATTTTAAACAGAGATCTTTTCCTAATATATTCATTTGGTTTAACTTTTTGGTAAAATTATTTTCAATTCTTGTGATAGAGATGTAAAGAATTGTTTATTTATTTCTAAGAATTATTTAATGAGTTGTGAAATAATTGCACACCAATTATGATATGAAATATTATGGGTAACCAAGAGTTTTCAAGTCCTTAATCCCAGAGATGTAACTGCCTTTGAATTCAGTTGAATATTAAGGCAATATTTTGCTAAAATTGTGCTAAACTTTGGCAAAGTTTTGGTTACTCACCAAAAAATGTAATTATTTATTGTTACAAAACTAGTGATTCCTCTCATTTAAACGCAAATATTTTACTTTTGCTTTCATTTTTGTATTTAAAAGAACTTCATTATAGTTATATAACATTATATACATCTATTTAAATGCATTAAATGTAATTATTTTTCTCATATAGTATACTGTAGTTAAACAGTGATAGGACTCGACATACAAGAGAGGAAAGACATTAATTGTGAAGCATTTGTGAGAAACTATGCGTTTATGAGAAGAAAAGTCAGTAAAAAGTGGAATATAATGTTAAACATTGTTTTTGTAATTATAGTTTATTTGTGCAACAAATTTAAACATTTAAGTAACAGTTAATCATTTTTTAATGCATTTAATGCACCCATTCTTTTGATACATAAGTCTTAACACCAAATCTAAGTTTTGTTTTCACTGCACATTTAACACTACAGTATTCAGTAGTAACTAATGCCTGAACTAAAGGTTATATAAATTCATTGTATAGCTATTAATATATTGAGAAATTACAGAAAAGTTTTATTAATATATACCCTATTATTATATGACCTCAAGTAATGAAAATAACATTTGAAACCATCAAAGGAGTGGTCAGACATGGGATGGCATTTGTTGGATGCCTACAAGTGATTGTCAGTCAAAAGCTGAAAGCCTTATATATTGAGTTTATGTATTAATAATAATAATTAAGGTTTCGATTAGTTTTATGTTAATGTTGTAAATGTGCTTAAAATAAGTCAAATAATAGAAAAGCATTTATTCGCTAATTAGTAATCATTACGACTCGTCTCGCAATCCATTCAATGCATTCACAAATCTGTCGTCACTTTTGAACACAATTTTCAATTTATAGAGAGCTTAGCGTTTGGAGCATAGATTTGAGCCAATTGTGAGCCAAACATCTATCAGACATAACATTCAGTCTAAATGAATGTTCAAATAAATTGCATCTAAACTAACGCTTAAGAAAAGATTTTTAGCGTCTATTAAGTCAACGATCACTAAATAGAGAGAAAAACAACTAAAAACTCATTTATGTCTGAATTAAATTCAAATATTCATTAAAATCTGTTTAAAAAATAGACAAAACGTGACGAATGTTTGTTTGCATTTGAGATTCACATACTTGTAGTGAAAGAGAGGGAAAAGGCATCAAATACTGACCTCATTATTAACTAATTAGAAATAATTGTTATATAAGTATATAAAACAAAAACAAAACACATAATGTATTTAAATGAAGAAAATGTAAAAATATTTATAGAAAATGTAAATTCCGAAGTAATGTCTTGTTTTCAATGTCTATATAATATAATATACAGTATATAACGAAAAGCCTATTAAGAGGTTTAGAAATGATCGATCATTTCGTGCTTCCCTTTATATATCATATCAAATACTTTCTCATCATTTCATTAATTATCACTTTTTGTCCGCTTTTAGTATTTCAATAAATCTATTATTTCTAAAAATACTCTCAATTCATGGTTAAAACAATTCAATTATAATTATAACAAAAGACTATTCATTCAATGAAATTACAAAAAACACAAATCAACTTATTTTAGGTCTTGATTATAATCAATGATTAGTTTATTGCCATTAAATATGTGCCAAAAAGTGAACTCAATTATGATTTATATATACATCAAAAAAAGTTGTCAATTGTTTCCAAAACCCATTCAATACTTTCATTTTATATACAAAAAATTAATTAACATTTGTGTCAATAATTTTACGATTAATTAATTAAATCCTAAGTTTATATAAAAAACTATTAAACAAAACATTGATTTCAATAATAAATACAAATTGAAAATAAAAACTAAGTCTTCGTGTGAGCCGTGGTTTCTGGCATTTGTTGCCTCAGAAGCGATGACTCGATGTCTTTGAATGCCTTTTCAAAAGATTTCATTTTGACACCAATTGCCGACGATTTGAGTTGTTTTCGTAATCGTATCATCTGTTTGTTGTGGTGAACGCGAAGTGCTTTAAGACATCCCCTAATGGTTCCCGACATATGAATGGTCCGCAAAATGCAGTCCAAGTGATGGACACGTCTGATGAATGGCAGCGATGTTAAGACAATCGTGTGGTGACATCGTTTGACGGCCAACAGACCAGTCCTCGTCATGTCATTGAATCGTTTCAATTGCAAAGACTTGGAAACGGATCCCAACCCGAAGTCACCATAAAGTGTGCCAATTGTCTGACGAATGGTTTCGATGAGTTGTCTTTCGGTGACACCCAAGCCATGGCTGTCCAGCACCTCCTCGTTGGGCATCAACTCAAACAACACATACCTTCGCTTCACTCTAACCATCGCTACCGCGAGATATGACAAGACATGACATGTGGGACCAAATCACTAGTTGTTTACATTTCCGACAATCCATTCAATGCTTGCTTTCATTGCAATGTTTAGCACTTGTGTTGCCGTCTATTGACTCACAAACCACTCATTCATTCATTCATTGAATTCATGTCTCAATTTAATGTCAAGAATATTCTCATCAAATAAATCAAAATTAATTTTTAATTTGTTTTAATAAAGATTTTAATTAAAAAAATTATAGTTTGGCTAATAGTGTTGTTTATAACAAGTGCTGTTTAGCTGAATATAAAATACAAACATTTAATGTGCTAGCAGCTAGCTCATTTGCAATAAATTAAAAGTTAAACCTGACAATTAATCACTATTCATGATAAATAAAACCATAAACAAATTGGTATTAGACACGTTGGATTGCTAAATGATTATTAAACTATAAAAGTTACAAAGTTTTAGTTCCAGAATAATAAAGTATACTTATTTATCTCTGATCCAAATAAACTTGAAAATGACCAGGATCGTTAAGAGAAAATATTTTTAAGTACTTATAAAAGCACGAAAATTAGCAAATAAATAATTTCCATTAAAACTACACTTTGACCATGTTACAAATATGAACATTAAATAAAATTAACATTAGTTGTAGTATTAGATTGTGTGGAGAGAGGGCACAGTTTGACAAACTGTAAGCATTTTGTTATAAAATCACTTATTGTTGAGAATAGGAATTGGGATAAGAATTGAATGCTTTAAGAATAAATATGTTTTGAGATATAATTTATTAGGCAATCATTTAATGTCTTAATCTATAATTTACATTAATTACAATATACTGTAATATTCTAGTAATCCTGTTAATGTTCTACTGCAGTATATTGTAATTAAATACAAATTCTCTAATTCAAGTATTTAGCATTATCTTAACATTTTAAAATTTAATTTTAATTTCTTTATAATATAATTAATGTGACATTTTTATATTTATTATAACAAATTAAAATGCCTTATTTCTAAAGTGACCGGAAGTATAACTATAGTATAAGTCTGTATAAAATTTCAATTTAAAAATTGCAGTGTAATCAAATTAAGTTAACTGCATAATTTTAATGCAAATTCTCATTTTAATGCAAATTTTTAATGTGCGAATCTATGCATAAAATAATAATTTTGTAATTTAACCATAAAATAAATTTTAAAAAGGGAATATGATTAAAAATTATTTTGATTATATTTAATTTTAGATTTAATATATAAATAATCTGTCTCTTGACATAAATCAAATAAATAATTTTTTGAGACACAATACTCCCGCCCTCAACAGCACTTAATTTACAACAATTTTTATATTTTGTTTGAATTATGGCTCAACTATTGTCTAATTGTGAATACTGTTTAACGCATTATTAGCAAATAATCCATAATTAATCATTTGAATTATTTAGAAAAGTTAATTAAAGTGTGTTTTAAAGTTTATGAATTGATTGATTGAATTTATAAATGGAGAAAATTATTACTTTATAACTCATTTGCAGACAGAAATCAATTAATTATATGAAGAATTCATTGGTTTTCTCAAATTTAATTCATTACTTATTAGTATTGATGACTGAAAGTAAGCAAAATCTATTCAATTTATATATACCAATATATACCACATTTATAGGTTTCATATAAAACTTTTGTTACACAAAATCAATTGGAGTTCGCATTCGTATAATAGATTTGGTATGAAATTATAGGTCAGAGAAATTACATATTCTCTGTTCATTCATTAATAATAAGGTTAACGCATATAATAGCGGTTTAAGCAAAAAATCTTAAATGTCTTCAAATATAATAAAATATTTTATTTCTTCAATTGCAATGAAATATATTATAACTTTACAAACATTTAACAAAATGAATAACTGAATAACAACTTCGGAGTTAAACTCAGGTTAAAGCAGTTATTTTGAAGTGTATTTTAATGCATTAGGAAAAGCCATTCATATAATTAATTTTGATATTCATATTAAAGTATGACTTTTTTCATAAGGCTTTACAAACTCCACAGCAAATCCAAATGCAGTGAAAATCAAAATGAGTGGCAATTTTCTCTTACTTTTTCTTTTTTTAGCGAAACATAAATTAAATTTTGATGATTGGGTCACGAAAT